CCAAAAGCACAAGACGACATCTTTATTTTATTCACCAACGAAAACAATTAAATGTAGTGAAATATAGGATAACGTATGAACGGCGTTCGCGTCAGCCGGCACATATCAGCTGACTCATATTTTCTGGTACTAAACCGAATTCAAATCTTACGAGTAGCTCGTATACCGAAAATACTGCCAGTTCTGGAAGCGGTCATCCAAATCGAAATTCGATTGTGTTCACTTCGCTAGGTTTTCGCCGCATGGAGAATTAATAGAGGTTTCCATTGGCGGCAGAGGCGCTATCCTCGGCCGCAGGGCATATTTTCTCTCGTGCATGGGGAGTGCGTGCGAGTCGTACCGGCCCGTTTCGAGGTACGGTAAATCAACATTTCACCGTTGTCCCGCGAAATTAAGGAAACCCTTGATCTACGGGCCATCCACGCTCGATTCCTGATCTATGGCGTAGCTGGCGTACTTTTGTATGTCCACCCCCGCATTGTCCCGCTTCAATGGATCTCACTATCGTGCCCCGATCCCGCGCACGTATTCGTTTTCTTTCCTATTTTCTCTCCATCTTTTACCTCCGAAACTGTCGAGGTATCTATTCATGTCCCCGATCCGCGTGAAATTGTCACGCAAAAGACATGCTACAATTTCGCGAATAAATTTAAATCGAGCACTACATATAGAATGACATTTTATGGAAAATTATTTTATCTTTTCTTTAGGTTTCGTGATTTTGTAATTATACAGAATGGCTTTCCAGATATGATTTAGGTATTTTCAGGCATTAGTAATCAATACTATACCAATTCCGTATCAATTTTGTTAAAAATAAATGTGTTACATTTATAAATTGAATAAATGACATTTTGTGCGCCACATGTAAATGTCGTTATAAACAACAATCGATGTTATATGTTACTTTGAAACAAATTTATTAATTAATTTTTTTTAATTATAGTTTATAACTGATAAAATTTGGAAAAGATACTGATACATGTATAAGTACGTAGGAAATAATGTTTCATAATTTAGTTATTGTAATTGAAATTAACTTACGTAAAATCTTATACATATATATGTATGTGTGTGTATGTGTGTCTTACATATACATTTAAGGATTTTAGTTATAGGACGTAAAATAAAATAATTTAAACTCGCTAGCTATCTGACTAAAAAACAATTTGACTTAACATTCAATTGGATAGACTCATAAACAATTCATTATATTAATAACTTTTCAACATATTTGTTTATTTTTTCAAAGATATTTAATCTTTTATCAAGTTTGATGTGATGTGTTTTATATGATGTATTTAATTGTATCGTCTTTTTAACATAAAATGTTTAAATTTTATAAATATAATATATGCTTCAAAGCAAATGTTAAATAGGTAAATAATGTTGAAAAGACCACATTATGCGTTCACAAAGTATACGAAAGATTATTCTGCCAATTATGCGTGTATTAAATAAGAAATTTATTTCGTATAGAAACTCCAGCGACACACTGCATGCAAAATTAAATGGCCTTCCCTTATTATTAGCTCAGCATACTTTCCCGTATGCAACTTGCATACACACGTCGTAAACATGCAACGTGCATACGTATACGCGCATGGCACGCAGGCGCTGCTTCTATCGTGATTTTAGTAACCTTATTTCATAATGCATCGACGTTTAAATGTGATAATACGTCACAATTGTAACGATAATGATGTTTTATATTCACTACCGAAATTACCATTGTCGCTAACATCGATGATGGAAGTAACGCTCATTTCAAATGAAAGCATCATTCTGTCGACTATGGTAGGCATGTTAAAGGGAAACGAGGGAGAGCTGGGGGAAAAGGGATGGAGAGAGCTGCAATAATAAATGGCGCTCCATTAGTCCCACTTTATTGAAAACCGTGGGCCACGTTTTAACCACCAGACGGTGGGCGAGCCATGACGCGTGACGTCATCATCGGAGATCCTTTAATGCTGGCATCTTTTTCATGCTGCGCCTTTTCTGCATTCACCCGGGCCATATTTCAACAAACCTTCTCCCTACGAAATCGGATCTTGCCAACTATTTACTACTGGATAATATCAAATTCGAAGGATTTTGCGAAATTTCGTTGAAAGCAAACCGATTCTAAAACCGCTTTCGTGTAAGATCCCTTTTGGTGAAATTACGCGATATTTGATCTTTCTTGATTCACGGGAAAGATTTCAGTCTTTTTAATCCTTTTGAGCTGTATGAATGCGATGCTCGCTGAAAAATTCAGCAGACAAGAAAAATGCATGGATAATTTAATCAACTAAGAAACCTGCAGCGTGGATGAAAAGAACTGTGTCAAGCAAGACGTTTCATGAAACTCTGCCTTAACAATATTTATTAATGGCGAAGAAACCTTTCTTATGATCACAGAAAAGACGCTCAAGTATCGAATTATTCATTAAAATTATTAGCGCGTAAAAAGGATTTTATATAATCACGAATTTATAAATATTTATCAACATATATACAGATCAAAATTTTGCTTATACATACTATTCTATCTTTAAAAGACAAATACTTGCGACACGTAAAATACTGTCAACATACTGTAACACATATTAAATATACTATTTGGATTGAGAAAAAATCAAAAAGAATATTTTTATATATATATTAAATTAAAGACAAATTCGTTTTGAATCAACGTCGCTCGATTTTATTTACAACTTAGATTTTAAATTTCAAGAGGATATCAAAGAAAATTTGATTGTTGACATTGGACAAATGTATAAAAATTTTGGGGGCACATCTATGAGCAAAATAAACTTTCATCAATTTTTTGTTGATATCCTAATCTACCAAGATTCTGGCACGATGTCGCCGACTGAGTTGGCCGAAAAGGAAGATGATGAGGATCAGACTAATTCACGAGAATGGACCACTGTGTGTGTCCACCGGAATCTCCAACCGGCAAGGATAGGCTATCAAACCGATTGTAATCAGACCACCCTCCGTCTCCGACAGTCCACTTCTATCTTATCCTTCTATACTTTCGAACGGTGGCATATCCCGTTCAGAGTAACTGATGTCCCCGGTAGAGACCTTCCGGCGGTAACTCGATTTTCGACTACTCGTCTTGATCTATTCCTACATATCAGCGTGAATGAAACCGTATCGAGTCGGAGAGAGGATGTGGATATAGGAGAAAGGTGAAACGAGAGACCAGAGAAGAGGAGCATATTTTATCGAGCCGATGCGAGGCTGTACCGCAACGCCACGACGTGCACTCGACCGCACGACCGTATGCGAATCGATAATTTATCCCCCCAAAAGCTTACTTCGCACACCGTTTCGTTGCACTCAACCGACCGGAAGCTCTAACCATAGAATCGCACAGATTTTCGCGAGTGTAAAAAAACAACATGTGTGATTAACGGAGATTACTAGCGTTTAATTCGGTGAGGTGGTCGAATTAAGTGCTAATAATCTCCGTTAGTATTTAAAATAATTGAAACGTATGCAACAAAGTAGCACAATTATCTAATTGTAAGTAGACACGGAATAGACAAATCAGTTTTCACAAGGATAAGAGGTGCGTATTTAAAGAACGTAAAACAAGTTAGCTTTGTAACAAATTGGCAAGTTTACCAGTGCTTTCATTAGATATTATGGATTCAAATTACTACATTCCCAGAGCAATCTCAATAACAATTATTCAATTATGTCTCATGAAGAATGCAAACGCGTTTAATACAAACGCATCGAAATACTTATAATCCAATCCATCTTATGAAATACTACGTTAACGTATATCATATTATTATACGATATACTGACTTGAAAATTTAATACTATACTTCCAAAATGATAAATGTTTACGTAATATTTTATTTAACATCACGTTATTCTGTAATCACACACACACTGCTATATTATAACAATTTCTCATTTTCCTTCTTTAATGAGAAACGGTATTGTTTCATGTTATTATCAGTTTTACACATTCATAAAAACCGTATAATGATTTATAATTAATCGTTATGTTTTCATAAATTTGCGGATTCTGTTTTTCGAATAGCAATATATGTAGCTAATCGTATAAAATGATTGTGCGTGATTAATAATTACTTATGTATTAATAGATAGTTTATCCCCTCTGTTTCACGTTCCAGGATTTGTAACACTCTTGTTCAAAAACAGCTACAATTAGTAATTATTTATCATGTACCCCGCTAACCGGTCTGTATTTATGCAGGAAATGATTTAATTACGAATCTGTCTTTACCTCTATTCTCCGACAAGTTATTTTAAGTGTCTATCTTAGAGGTTGCATCTTATGTATTATGAAAGACCTTCGATTGCCTGAATAGCATTCTCGCGCTAAGAGTAATTTCCTGCGATGTTTCATTTTCGTTATATTATGTCAGATATTTCAGACGGAATCATCACGCTTTTAGCAAAGGAAAGAGCTCATTAACAATTTAATGAAGAGATATTCTCAAAACAGTTAAACATGTTATTTATTCAGTGTAATGTTGCGATTATAAATATAGCAAAGTGATATCTTATGTTAGAAAAATAATATTGTTAAATGAGTAATATAAAAATTGCATTACGTTAAATTTGCGAAATTCAATAAATCAATTTTGTTAAAATCGTGTCGTGATTTTCTAAATGATTCTGCATTTTGCTCTTGTGTTGAGATAAATACAGTAATTTTTAAATGAACGTCACAGAAACACATTAATTATTTCTCTATCAAGGTACTGAATTTTTATCTACATTTTTGGACTATTGATTGCGAAGTTTAATCACAGAGATATGTATTTTGGACCAAGTATAACGAAATGAATATTTCATATCTAGTTTTGCATCCATTAAAGCTCACGATATATACTCGTTGCGGAAATTAATAATGTTTGAATATAACCATTATTATCTTTTCAATTGTAATTTTCTCAACAACGAAAATGTATTACATTATATTCTGTTTTCGAAATATGTCTAATCATTTTCTTTTTTTATTTCAGAACATTATCACATATTTGTTGGAGACTTGAGCCCGGAAATCGAGACACATACCTTAAGGGAAGCTTTCTCAGCCTTCGGAGAGATCTCGTAAGTCCTCTTAATCTTGCTCATTAAAGTCGACTTACCGTTTTACTAGAGTTATATGAGCGATAATATAACGTCATCATAAAATGATAACATGGTATCACTAACGACTTCTCAAAAATGCAAAGTAATCTAATATTGGATTTATAAATATCAATAAATTTAAGTTACACAAGTATAAGTATATAAATATACGCACTACTTTTTTCGTTCGCGAGCTTAGTTAACGAAAATATATAATTAATTAATAAAATGTTCATAAGACCATTAATAAAAAAAATATTTAGAAAGAAGTATTTGAGCTTGCAGCAAAAAGAAAAAAAGGAATAAACTGTAATGTGTTGTCAGATATTTTAACAAAGGAATATTTAATTATCTTTGAATATTTTATGTTTTTTTTATCTATCGCAAAAATATGTGTTAAAAAGTACCATAAGTCTCAACAGTTATACAAGATATTTAATTCGTTTAAATGCCGTATATATTGAAACATATTTTTCTTTAGCCTACTGATATTTACACATAAGTGCAAAAAATACTATAATATTTACATAGAGGACTCATGAGTACTGTTGCGAAGTGTCACAAATATTATTCGCAATCTTAACGCTTCCGGAAATGCAATTTATAAAAATGCAGTACTAACCCACGGCTTTATTGAAGAAAAGCCACCGCTCTGGAAAACGTCAGTGCCGACAATAAATAGGTAGACATAATCAAATCCCCAGAAGTTGCAATAGAAGGAAATCCGGAATATTTCGTTTTATCAACCGGTTTCGCAAGTTTATTACACTTTTAACGACCTCGCCCTCTCGTCCTAACTGAGCTGTTTTACGAGTTTCCATCATCGTCCGACGTTTCACGATGCACCGACGCGAACAATAATAACGCATATCTCTGCGATCGCGCGGCAGCTACCACAAGTCCTGCGACCTTGCGCTCCGTTAAACTCGCCGGTCGATAGATGCATGACGATAATATCGCAAGCACCGATACCCTTCGAAGTCGGGCTTGAGCTGCGAGCTGGAGGTGAAGTCGCGTCAATCTCCGCAGTCTTGATCGATTGTATCGGTAAACCAGTAACGCTAAGCCGCGTGCATTTATGCAGCAGAAACTATCAGGGCGAAGGAGCTAATTTGACGCATTTCTATAGACACCATTTAAAGAACATAATAAATTCTCCGTGAGTTCAGCGCAACCGTGACTGATAATTAATAGGTAAAATACTCAAATGTTTCCTTCGCTCTCTCTTCTTAAGATTTTCTTTTTATTATAAACAGTACTTGCAACACAATTTAAAATAATAAGTGAACATGACAATTTGGAAACGTAGAATGCTATGAATTTTAATTTTTAATAATTACTTTTATTATATTAAATAGACACAATTAAAAAACACTTCCTATAGGTATAGTTTTAACGTAATCATGCTCTCAGATATTGGGGTAATGAACATTATCTTCACTTGTAAAGGTAAATTATCATATACCTACACCAAGGATTCGTGGTAGTCTAAGAATAGGCATAATCAGCAGCAGAACTTCGATTTCGCAAGGAAATTACGTGAGCAAAACAAAAGGAACATATTGAGCTTGCGAGCATGCGAAGTGTCAGTAAGTCCGCGCTCTACATCGATTGTATCTGCAAACCAGTACGTTACGCCCTGGTGATTTTACGTGACGAAAGTCAGGGACAGTATCGCGATTTCGCGCAACGATACGTCGTAAAGTGAATGAAATAAATGTACCTATAGCTATTTGATGTTACACTAACTGTCTAAACATTTGTTTTACACTAATATTGTTGTAGACAAATATTTACGTTAACAATATAACTTGTCATCTCGCACTTCATCATCTCTCTCTCTCGTGAATTAAGAATCTCAATCCGTAAAAATCGTAAAGATAGAATCGCTCCTTCTCTAAAGCATAGATCTTCGTATCCGTTTCTCTTGCGGCAAGAAATCTCCATTCGGATTTCGCATCCTGATTTATTCTTGGCTCATGCAGATGCACCACTTCTGCGTTCGCGAAACTTCACGAGTATTGCTTGATAGGAGGAAAAAAAAGGGGGGGGGAATCGCGCTATACGAGGTATCGAAATTTCAGATTCCAATCTAAACTCGGCCTTCGAGCGACAACCATGTTCGGCAGCGAAACAGCTGGAGGTAGGTACAGTTTGCGCCGTTTGGCACAAGAAGACGGCAGAAAAATGGGCCCTCCTTCCCCTCTGGAAAAATCGATTCAAACTCGCTCCACGAGTACCTAAGCCGCGCTTTAAAAAGCTAGTGAAAAATTGCCAGCGGTTTTCCTCTTTTATTTTGTTTTTCCCCCAGCCCCTTCCTTTTTCTCTCCTCTACCAATGCTCCTCACGCCTCTTCTGTGCTCCGTTCAACGCTCCTTTCCCCGATCCCAGGTACGCTCTTCCTTGCCTCAAATGGTTTATTCCGGAAAGGCCTGCCATGCTTCGTTCCTTACGCGATAAACATTCGTGATTAATTATATCCTTAGTGAGATACATTTGATCGAGATTGATATTACACTAGAAGAGAAACGTACACTAGTACGAACCCATCAGTTACATTAGGGATAACGAAAGTAAATTTGTTTAAATTTATTTTCCATACAGAGAGAGCGTCTTTTGACTTTCTACAATAATAAATGCAGCTCAGAACAGCGAGTTATCACAAATTTATGTCGATATTCCATGCTAAGCAATTTCACGATTCTTATACATGCCGGTCAGCGTATTTCCTTCAAATATGAATAACGCCATGCCATGCTGGCGAATATCGCTTGCCAAGCGTGAAACGCGGTTTAGCGCTTCTGCTTTTCGGGCAAACCTTTATGAATATTGCACCATAAATTTTAGTTTTATATATATACAATAATATATAGAATGTATATATTTTATGTGTGTGTGTGTGTGTGTGTGTGTGTGCAAGTGACCCATCATCTCGAAATGTCATCAAAAGATATGTGATCGTTTTCTTTACGTTCTTGCATAAACTAACAATGTGTGAGAGTATTACTTGTATCTTTCACGAAAAAATACATACTATAATACCTATTTCTTATAATTATAGCAAGAGTTGTTACACAAAAAAGTAACATAATCCTTAGGGAAGACTCTTGTACACTTAAAAACACTTTTATATTTTCATTTTTAGAATCTTTAACTATTTATATCTTATTTCTAATGTTGTTTATAAATAAAGGTATGTATAACTTAAATAAATTTATAGCATTTTGGAATAATATTTTAATTTCTGTTTTTAATAATTTCTTTTGATAAATTGGCTTATAAAAAAAATAATTGTATTTATAAGAGATAATGTTATACATAAAATAAAATACAACTTTATTTTAAACAACTTCTATTCTTGAATCGACTATACAATTAAACTATTAATAATAAAACTTTAAATATTAAAAATCTTGTTACTGTTAAAAAAAATAATTAATGCGTCTCAAGATACAACACGTCCCTAAATACCAGCTCTCCTATACACTATATATTCTTAAAAAGTGTTTACTACATGTAGTAATTCTTACAAAGCATAATTTAATTTAAATCATTTAGCAACTCTTGTAGAGATTTTTATAAATAATTAATTTTAATTTAATTACTATTATTATATATAATAATGTTATTGTATACAGTACTATATTACAAAGTAAACTATATATTTGTTGATTTCTAAAATTAAAATGTGCTAAAACAGTAAAAAATATATTGTTAAAGAAAAAAAGTAAGATTCATGAAAAAGGTAGCTTAAACTGAAAAACTCAAATTAAGATACAAATTTCCAAGAACGTTTAAAGTTTAAATATATCTATAAAATATATGTTTTCGTATTAAATATACAAAGCATAATTATATTTAACAATGGAATTTAATTACAAATTGCTGATTCACCTGCTATCAATTAGAAATTTTAACAATGCAACTTGAAATTTTAACCACGTAAATTAATTATCGGTCATAATTCGCAAACGATGCAACATCGGAACACAAATCGAACCTTTAATCAATGTCACAATTACTGATAGTGCATAATAAAACAGGAATACTTTGAAAGACATAATAAAATGTGCTTAATGATGATGACTCTAACTCCTTTATTCATTTAATCGCTTGATGCTTCCATTATATTAATTATATTATAATGCGATAAAGAATAATCATTGTTCTCTATACAGAGATTACATGTGTATGCACATATAAGAGTATCTATCGAAACTTAGGGATAGTTACTACAATGCGCGACTACAATGACTACAATAGGAAAGGGATTTCTGGAATAGTCCATTCACATGAGTGCGACAACTTGCTTCAACCTATGTCCACATTTGCATACGAGCACATTGTACTTGCACTTTGATTACTCTTGCAGATTCGAAGTAACCACCAGCATCAAAGACAAAATAGCTTCGAGTGATACAAACTGAATGATATTTTAACACGTTATACATTTTCTATAGAAACTACTGCACGATTATATATTTTTATATCGTGATTAATATATTAGTTTTTATTATTAAATAGATAAGTAAAAAGATGCAAAAAATATGAAAAGGAAAAATTTTATACAAAAGTTATCATAAGATAAAGTACTAAATTCTACTGTTCTTACAGATTTTCAAAGAATAATGTTAAATTAGAAAATAGTGCGTTAAGCTTTTTTCGTTATTTAAATAGTGCTACACTAAAATATTGATAAGAAAGGAAATATTATGTATTAGAAACACAATTTATCGTAAATAAACGCGTAACAATATGTATAACGTGAAAAACGTATAACGCAATATATCGGTTACTCAAAGAAGCAATTCATGCATGTTGCTCTCAAGATCACCATTTACGATCGCGCGATTTGGGCATTTCAGTAGCGCGTTAGGCCGTTAGTGTCACAGCTTGATCTCAGCGGAGAACCAAAGCTCGCTTTCAGGTTTAAATGGTGGTTAAGTAAGCTGCACGGTCGTCTCCTCGGTTGCCCTTTG